TTAAGGGTAACTCATCAATGAAGAGCCCTTCAGGCGAAAATTTTGTCCGTTTTGCTCTAGCTCAAATCGTTGAGGCGCTAGAGGGTATTTTTAAGGAAAATAAGCGAAAAAATGTACAACCCTGCATGCTTAGTGGAAGCGACGGGCCGTTGACGGGCCGGAGGCCCGCATCTTTGCGTACATTTTTGCACTACCCGACTCGGGTGTCAGCGCCGCAGGCCAAGGTAGATGTATGCCAGGCGCGTCGCAGCGTATCAGTGTTTCGTGAGATATTGCGAAGCCTGTTACGCGAGACGTGGTCTGGCGTACATCTACCTTGTTAAAATTAATGTTTAATGCGTAATGGAATTTCAAACATTTTTAACAGCGCAGAACAAAAACATAGCGGAATTTAACCTGCACATCTGGAGGGCAGTGTGTTGTTTGTTTTTATTTGTTTTTGTGCTGAGGGGGAAACTTTAGAATGATACAGCGCAGAGTCCTCCAAATCCAAGTCCTTCTCAGGGGTAGGCATTTCAAAGACAACACTTCTAACATAAGAGTCAATCTATAAATTATATGTTTTCAAATTTCAAAATCTGGAATACTTTGTGGTGACTAAACTGGCAGCAAATGTAATTACTACAATTAGACCAATTACTGATGATTCTGTGCTTCTTGGGTAGTTTGCAATCTTATCAGTTTATATTCTCTGATGGTTAGGAACCTCTTACCCATCTACTTTCGGAGGAAGTCAATGTTGTTGCAATCTGTACACTTATTTATCTAAGTCATTATCATTTTCAGGTTCACTTTGGTGATGGTATCTTTGTTGATACAAGTGCCATTGAACTAGTAGAAGCTGAGTCTTTCGACATCAGAAAGCGGGTTAAAGGGCTACTGAATAAAGTATACCCATCAGTTGTACTTCAGCGGGCTCTTCAGCCTGAACTGTGCAAGGATAAAGATGTTACGTTACCCATCAACCATTGTGTTGTCAATACCATGACTGGTACGTAGGTTTCATAGTAAATACCTTTCACAAAATGTTTCTTAATATGTGGAAACGAATAGAATTTTTTATTGGCTCAGCGTTAGCGAAGCCTTTGCTATGTCATGAGGTGCAGGGAACTCTTTGGTTGTGTGTCTGTCTGTCTGTCTATCTGTAATCACACACGTTTCTCAAAGACGGCAACTTCAATTGACTTCAAACTGCGCACGAAGCATCAGTATGAATCCGGCCGTATCGAGTTTAGTTTAGAAGTTTGATATAAGACGTTTGAAATAAGCGATCGTTTAATTTGAATTCATAGTTTGGTGGTAGTAGTTTGGTAGCATGGCAATCGAGGGGAGGGGGAGCGCAAGTGGCTTCTGCGCTCACCTGAAGACTTTAATACCTCCTCAGCAGTGATTAAAATGTCAGATAGTCAAACCGAGTCTTTTAGTTTTAGTTTTAGAGTTGCGGAACTTAGCCTACGAAGTTTCGCGAGTGTCCGATGAGAAGGAACAAAAGTGATATTTGGAATGGTTTACGTTTTTACTTACGTAAGCTGGAGGGAGCAGGGGTAGTGGTTTGGGAGAAATGTGCAAAGGTTACTGCTGATTTGGGTTCATCTTGACAAAAGAAAACGAAAATGTTTTATGCCTAAAGATGATCGGAATCGAAATGGCAGAGTTATGTTCAAATGTTCAATAAAGTGTTTAATCGCCTCTGGCGGCCAAACGGTGCGTCGGAGGTCAATTCTTACGGCGGTTTTCGGCCATAACCCGACGGGTTACAGGGTCGCACCCTTCGAACCTTTGAAGTCATTCCCCTCCAAATTGACAGTTTGGTCGTTTTTGGCACTTTTACCCCTTTGGGTTCTATTAACTTTGCCATTTCAACTCTGATCGGCTCTCAGCATAAGACATTTCCTTTTTAATTTTGCAAGAGGAATCCAAATCTGGGATTCTACTTAAAATTTGATAACTTTGAGCAAATTGCAATTTCACAAATTTTTCAATGGAACACAAAATAATGGTGTTCA